CTTATGCTGTTCATTAATATTGAATCATTTATCAAATAAGTGTTTGGGAAGTATTGCTACAGCTCAATTGGGAAAGTCTATAGCCAGTGTTGTATTTCTAATAGATGCTAAAGTAGTACCAGATAGCGCTGTCACCCAGAGAGTTACATGTTGCATCATTTGTAAATTTAACCCTTAGTAGAGGCTACCTCAGGCTTGAATCATTCTGCCATGAAACCTCATTGAGAAGCCAAATTCATAAGGGCATGGTTCCCCCCCATCCCTCCCCTTTAGTGTAAAAAAGCAGGTGTTTTAAGCTCTGTGAATGCAAAAAGTGTGTTCCTAAATGAAGACTGGTATGAACAATCTCACTTAAAATCAAGAAAACTAGTTGTTAAATTGATTCCATTATTAAATTCTCTGTCCAACAACAAACTGCTAAAATTCAGGTGCTCACATCAATTCATGATGCTAAAGGCATTTAGACTTAAAGGTACTTAGCATATTGGATATAATAATAACAATTAAAAAAAAAAGGTAGATGAGCTTCCTTATTCTGCATTTTTTGAGAGTTTTCTGTAAGTATGTGCTGCTGGCAGCTGCCAGGAATGGGATGTGAGGTGAGGGAGGTCTTCAAGGGTTCAGCCTAGCATTTCTCTTCTTGCTGCATGATTTTTCAGGTCTCTTTCTCCATACTGTACTGTCCTTCTCTTTTTACCTTCTTTCCTTTCAGCTCCAGTGGAGGCCCTCTCCTCTTTGCTAGGCACCAAGGCTGTGTACTGCCTCCCACACTCCATCTGAGGCACAATGTATTGGGTTACAAGCCACCTAGCAAAAGGTGTTCACTTCAGGTGGGCAGTCCAGCTGAAACACAGCTTCTTGTAGATTTGCTGCTTTGGTTACACCAAATTTTGTTACAGCTCATGAGGTCTGCTCCATCATGGCTGCTTCCTGCTGGCCCAGCAGCTTCAGCGAGCCAAAGGGAATGGTAGTTCTACCTGTGAAGCTATCAAAGCAGCCTTCATCTCTTCTGTCAATATTTGCTGGCTTTGCCAGCTACCAGAGCTTATTCTGCTGTATACCTACCAAAAAAAAAAAGTCCAGAATTCTTTTTTTATGGGGTTGACCCAACCTGTCAGTCCAAGAACCACTTTTACAAGATGTGCGTGATGCACACCCACCTCAGTGGTGGTGGAACAGAGCCCAGCAAAGCTCTGCAGGGTGCAGATGAAACATTCCCTGGCTCACAGTGAGACAAAAAGGTGATAAACAGCAGCACCTGGGGAACATTCCCTTTCCCACCTACCACCACCACCACCACCTTCTCTCTCTCGAAAATACAAACAAGCCAACCCAATTTGCATTTTCGTAGCTGGGAGTGATTGCTAGATTAATGAGCACTGCTATTTATATCTAAATAATCACAGTCCTAAACAACTGCTTGGAGGCATCAGTAGGGAAGGTATGTTTCTGGGCAATGATTTTATGAGGTTTGGGCAGTACTTGCCATCAGAAGGAGGAAAACACGTCTGAATTACGAAAAAATGCTTTACCATATTTTGGACAAACTAAGGGAAACTGGTAGAAGAAAGTTATGCTAGCAGTGTATGCAGACTTGGCTCGCTTACCAGAGTACACTGGCCTTAACACTATTCAGAGGAAATACTTTTGCTAAGCAGCTTCCTTTAACCATCGTAGTTGCCACAACCCTGCTTGGGACTTCAGCATTATGCTGTACTGCCCAGACACATAGGGTACCCAGCATTGTTCCTCCCAGGCCAGAGTGTGTGAAGAGCCCTTGCAAGCCAGCTCTGCCCTTGCTGCCTTTGGCTGAGTTTCTGCAAAGAGAATCTCTTGGTTTAGCGCAGAGCTTGCAAGGCCACTTAAATCTCTCTGACCCCTTAATGAAGTTTTTGAAAGGGCTTCATAAATCTTCATCACTAAGAATTGCTTAAAGCCCTGCAGTGTTTCTGCAGTGACCCTAACCACTAGAACAAGTAGACAGGCTCAGGTATATTTATTGCATTCATCTTCATTATTCCATGGGTTTTCCTTCCTTATAGTCTTTTACACAAGCTGCAGCCAGGACAGGGAGTTCAGGAGTGGGAGCTCAGATTCAACACTGACTGTCTGGCAGTTTGTAGCCATCCACTATGACTATGTCAGATGAGTCCTCTTCTTGGGAATGTTTTCTGTGCAGGCAGAACTATCTGTTCGTCATTTATCCTTCTTTATTTAAATCACCATATTGTTCCTCATTTGGGAAAGAACCTCATTTTTGCCTTTCCTGTGAAAACATATCACAGGTCACAACCTGACAGCTCCAAAATGGATTAGTTATCTGCCTGCCCTTCTGGGGTTTTTTGTGGTGTTTTTTTTCTTCAAATTTTGGCTGACTTTAGTAATGGCTTTTTATGAGTAGCATCAGTATTCTCTGAAATAACTTTCAGCTTGGTGGATATGTAAGGATTGGTAGGAAAATACACTGGGGTTTAAAAATTTTTTTGCATGCCATGTATCACACTCTCCAGAGTGAGTGTGTAGATTCTGTATATTCCATACAGGTTGTTCAGTCTGTGAATTGAGGACAGAAAAGATATGAATGAGGTTAACAGATAAACAGAAAAACACTCTAGTACAGGTAAAGTCACCAAAATCAGTAAGACCCTTTGAAGAAATAGTTCCAAGGCTAACTCTGTAGACAATGGACTAAAACTCTATTGAGTTCTTAAAAGATTGGAGGTCTCTGTGGTCCAGCCATGCTTGGGCTACTCCATTCCATCACAAAATCATGCTTTTGTGAGCTAGATGATTTTCAAGGTTGACTTTTCATTTGGTACTTTGTTTATGACATTAGGATAAAGTAGAGTGCCACAGAAGTGGTCCTTTACAGCCATGGCAATGTCATATTATTTAAAATTTATTTGCATTACAAGAAGGTCTGCTGACCTCAGGGAGGACTGGAACAGTGCACATGGAGCAGAAGAGAAGCCATATGCTTGTACTGGCAAACAAGATCTTCTTATTGAAAGGTTTGACACTGAACTCTTAAATCTGCCAGAAGTGTCAGTCACCATGATTAACACAATCATCCGGTTTCCTAGTCTAGGTTAAGGCTGGCAGGAAAAATAAAGGCTTGTGAACATGGTGGAGGCTCAAAAGCCAGATTGTGATGTGTATGTGAGGTAGGTTACCTGATGCATTAAAGGAGACCTCCAAACTTACTTGAATTGGTGTTTCTTCCACTGACTTCAGTGGGTTCTAGATGATGTCATGCTGTGATGCTGGCACATGTGAACCAGTCAAATAATTGTTTTTAATATAGGGAACTGTAGGATGGGTTATCTGATGCACTGTGTTGTCTGCTCTACAGTGCATTGGTTAATAACCTGCTAGGGACACACTTTTACCCTAATGGGTATAAGATTAGATATTATCTGACTTCCTGTATGCTTAAAGTCTATGCAAGTTCACCCCAGTGCTTACATAGGTGTTAACAAAAATTCAAAATGGGTTGTAGCTTTCAAGTCCTCAAAACACAAAAATCACAGGCAGGGGACTGAAGAAATCAAAGGGCCACCACAGCCTGAGGTCCATAAAATGTCAGGAAGTTGGAGAGATAAGAAAGAAGATTTCATCAAGTGAGTCATGGCCTGTGCTTTAAGAAAAGATGGAAGAATCCTAAATCCTGGCCAAAATGACCTGGCAGAAGTTCTTACTCAGTCCTGAGTCACATACACAGCTTGATCCTTTGCATGTAAGCAAAGCATTTAAGGCTGTGAGCCTAGGTGGCTTCTGTCCTGTGTCCAAGGCGTTGTCACTTACCATACGCCTGCTCCTAACCCTGTCCACTTAAGCCTTCCACGGACTGAAAGTTAGCCATCTAAATGTCTTTAAGGATATAAGCCTCATGATTCAGCTGAGGCTTCACTTGCACTGTATTTCCCAGGGACAGAGCTCACATGACTGAAAATCTCTAATGTAAATGAACCAGGCTGGGGTAGGAAAGCAACACTGGTCCAGCACTTCTGTGCTAGGAATTTGGAGCAGAGATGCCTCATGGCTATGAAAACAGACAGGAAAGGCAAAGTTTAAGTTCATACTATGAACTATCACACCATAGTCCCATGATACATTGCCTTTGGCAGCTAAGCTGCTGCAACCAGCTCCTGCCCCAGATGTTTGTTCCCACCTCTGGCCTGCAGTTTATCACCTCCTCAGTCATGCCAAAACAACTGTGTGTACAGCAGTGCTTAAATCAGCGCACTGAGGTGATGGAAGTTAAAAATAAACTCTTTGTGGGAGGAAGAGAGGGAGAGCTATTTTTAATTGTAATCATTTCAATGGTCTTTCTTCCAGTGTGGGCTCACAAGGAATTTCATTAACACAACTGGGAGAAGGCAGTGGATTGCTGCACTGTCTGGCACTGGAGTGACTCCTCCAGGCAGAAGATTCCCTCCTGGGGGAGGGAGAGGGTTTCTTAAGCCAGGATTGCATCAAGGCCAACGTGCTACAGAATTGTACCTTCCAATAAGCAGAATTATATCTTCCCTGCCTGATTCAAAACCAGACTTGGGTACCCCAGGCTCTCCATTTGCTATTCTGTCTGTTAGATCCTCTTAGCATTCATTTTAAAAATTATTATATGCAAGCCAGCATTACTATTAACAAAAACAAACAAAGAGACACTGAGGTTTTTTCCTGTTTTATAAACAAATACACCTTATAATAATTCTGAATACTAACCTCCTCCTCCACAATTTACTATAGTATGATTAGATGTCACGCATTAAAGTCTACTCAAATACAAAATGCACAGTAAACTGAGCATAAAAAACATCAGAAGAGATTAAAAAAAAAATAAGATTTTATTTCATAAAGTTCATTACATGATCAAGAAATGAAATACTTATATGTTCCTTAAACAGCATTGAAAGTTTAAGGAAAAACATTTGAAAAGGGTTCAACATGTTGTAGTGCAACTACAATCTGGAAATTCACAAAGTAATTCAGCAACTTACTTTTGTTTTGGCCGTGGTCATTTCTGTGCTTTGATGAGCTTCTCTGTGAGCAAGTAAGTGACATATGCAAAGCCTTGGTTCTCTCTTCTGTTCAGGCACCTCAGTGATTTGCTTCTGTTTGAACAGGAAACACATCCACTTGCATCCAAGTGCTCCTGCTACGTTTCTCCAGAGGCTCTGCACCAGTAAAGCATGTAAAAGAGAGACAGCTTTCAAACTGCTGTCCTCTTTTGAAATAAGTACTTTTGTGTGTGTGTGCGTTATTAATACTAGTAAATGTTTTTCTATGATATTGAGTGAGTTTCAAAGCTCTTCTCAGGAAAATGGGGCAGTAGTTTAATTTACAGCACACCAGAAAATGAAGTAGTATCCTGAGTCCCACATCAAAGTCCTTCTTCGGGACTCATGATCCATGTGCTGGACCACACCAGTTCCTGGGTGCTTGGGTGTATGGGCAGGATTCAAATTTAAATTACTAGACTCTGAGCATGTTTAGTATATCCTTCAATTCTCTTTTAATAAAGAGAACCAAGGGCACAGTGACTCAGTTTTTTATTTAGATAATATAATTGCCTCATGAACTCTGTACAAATTACCTCTTCTCTGTATTGTTTTTGCAGTGTATTGTTTTGCTTGAATAATATGGCACATATCCAGTGAATATTGCAGTCAATAAAGTACCTCGGTTTATAGTTTGATGGCCCACAAATGAATAACTGACATCAACAAGACTAATTAACTCACTGTCCTTTTTAGCGCCATCAGTACTCTTCACTTAGAACACTAAATTTATTTTTAATTATTAACATATTTCCTTAAAAACTTATTTTTGCGTTTTTTTATTACCAAGAGCTAACCACAGACAGACTATTTTGCACAGCTTTCAACAAATTTGTGATTCTAAGGTTGACATTGGAGTGTAATAATGTAAAGGAAATTGCATTTTACGGCATTCTAATTAAACATGTAAACTTGTTGTGGGCCTTTCTCCAGCAAAAGTCCCACAGGAGTCTGGTCCTTCATCACTAGATTTTATTTTCTTCTTGAGCTTTGCACAGCAGGTTTCTGCCTTCCAAATAGAGGACTGATAAAATAATTTAATCTGTTACACAGTGTGTTTCTGACATTCAGACTGACAGATATGGGGAATTATCGTAACGCTGAGTAACATAAAGGATATGCATCATTATTCCTCTTAGTAAAGTGCAATTCTAGGCGTGCTGGATTCTGCTTTTGTACAAGGAGTTGGGTTGGTCCAAGGTAGCCTGTGAGCGAGCCAGAGCCACTGAAACTCCAGTAGGTTTGTTGGCCATAGCTTTGTGCCTGCTTTGGGGGTATGGACCCAAGACAGCACTTCTTCCTTGTGCTGAGGAAGAGGATATTTGGGGGCCATATTTTGTATTTTTTCAGTTTACTTAGCTACAGTCACAGAGCTTTGGACAGGATTGTCCCCATCACTCTCTCCCCTTCCCATCCACTTACCATTTTTCTCCAATTCTACCACCAATCATAACAAAATGTCCAGCATATCCTACCTTCACTGTAATAACACTGGCTGTATCCAAAAGGACCAGACGATGTCAAGAATTCAACCAAAAATACTCACATTAGCATTCAGCCAAGCCCTTGTAGGGTTTGTCCTGCTGACTTGGTCCAATCCCATTAAATTCAGAGGGCCTCCTTTTCCAGCTGAGCTTTAATTGTTTGCTTTCCAGTTCTCTCCATGGGCTCAACCTAGCCAGCTCCACGCTCCACAGGTCCAAATGCTGAGCTATGGTTAGCATAGTTCAGTATAGAATATTTTTAACCTTCCAGTAGCTACAGGTCACAATCATTAGTTTCTCCTATCTATGCTTATTAAAGGAAACACTTGTGAAACATATGTCACCTTCTGGACCTCAGAGGTACATGTAGTTCCAAGCAGGCACAAGGAAAACATGTTTCCATTTCTTGCAAGCAGAAATTAGGTTAATTTCTTTGGAAAACTCCTTCTAAAGGAAATGTCATTCAACAATTCTGTTGAAGCTATCAAAAGCAAAACCAAATTGATTTGAAAACAACACAGGTCACAGATAGAGTTTGTGAGATGAGTAGGAACTGTTCTCATAGGTAGTAAGAACTAAAATAACAGTATAGAATTAATTCTGGTTTTAGGTTGAATTATACCCCTCCCCAGTTCCATGAGTGAAATATGTTTAAACATATTCGTGTTGTACTCTATCTTTTCCAGAAAAAAAAAAAAAAAAAAAGGAAAAAGAAAAAAAAAGAAAAAAAAAAGGTTTTAAAATTTCAACCCAGAGTACAGACAGCAGTTTCAGACAGTTCAGGGGTTATTGCTTTGCCTGTGTCATGCTGACCAAGCACAAAACAAAAGCTTTGCTGTGGTTTCTGGTGGCTGAACAGGGATGAGGAGCTGAGGTCTTGGCTTCTGGTCCAGACATGACAGACCTTTCCTACCTACCCAGGTGTAAGCCTGTTATCAACCTGAAAGAGAGAGGAAAATGCAAACCACTTTGTCTGCCCTCTCAAGATGAACCTTGTTGCTAATTTGATTCCAAGTTGATTTTCTTTAAAGGGTTAAATAATTCAAAAACAGCACAAAAACTTTATTTTGGATAAAATGAAATGTTGCGATTGATATGAGCTTTTTTTGGAGGCAAATAGTTTGGCTTAGTATAGAAGATGAAACACTTTCATTTAAGTGGTGCTACACAAAGCTGTGGTCACTACTGCCCAGCTGGGGATCTGTGGGGAGTGGTACTGCATAGGGTGTCATGTATGGGGTGCTTGGAGCAAAGCCGAAAGTAGCGAGGGAAAAGTCCTCAATCCAGCTAGGCACTGCTGAGTTTTCGTCTCCCAGCACTCCCAGGCTCTGACAGTCCCACCTCTGTTGGATTTACCTGTGGTGCCACGAGATGCCGCTGATGTCAGTGCTGGCTGTTGTCCTTTCTGCTGGGGTTACTGGGCCCCAGAAGTAAACACAATGTAAGTTTATAAGGATGTACTGGACATAGAGCTGGATCTGTCATCTTTAGTGTCCATGCAACAGCACGACATCTGCATCATAAAGAGGTGCTGTTAAACCTGACAGAGCCTGACATAAATCACAGAGAGCATCTACATTACCTTTACTGTTAAGTTCATTACAGGAACTATGGTAGCTGCTGAGTTAGTGCTGATTGGGTTTGTTTGGGACCAACAGCTTCCGAGCTGTGACAGCAGAAAACTTGGCATTAGCTGACCAAATATTCACCTGGAGTTTTTAACAGAATCTGCTTAAAGCCAGCTTAGTTTAGTTAAAACCATGACTTGAAGGGCCAGGTGGCAATTCTTGTTGTGAACTTCAGAACAGATCCATTAGCAAGGTTTATTGCTTCATGAGGAATTTCCATGGAGGTCTGTGGCACTGACTCTTCATGCTTAAGTTATCGTGGGACAAATTCCTGCTGAATGAGTAGCCTTAGACATTTCTAGTATCTGGAGAAATGAGCAGAGGCACAGAAGCAGGGTTTCTTTGTAAGCCCTGTTTCACATGCACTATCAGAAAAAACAACCTACAGTAACATTACAATGCAAATACACTGCTGAAAATAATATGCGAACTTATAGTAAAACTGGGTTGTTTGGGGTTTTTTTGGTTTTGCATTATTTCACAGGTGAATAATAAAGTTGTGTGTGGCTTAACTTATGTTTAATGGTCATTGGCAAACGCTAAAAGCATGATCCAGATACCACCCATGTTACTGATGGATGCAGCAACCCTCTGAAGTTATCCTGTAATACTGTTGCATGGCATTATCTTCAGAGTTTACTGAAAGTGTGGAGGTCCTTTTTTTTTACCCCTTGGAAATAGTAGTCACTCTACAGCCTGCCATCACACTGATTTACTCTGAGGATTGTTACTTCAGAAAAAGGCTGCTATCTCTATCCACATTATGAATACAAAAAAACCCCCACCCCCCCAAACCTCAAACCCGAGTAACATCAGAATTACACCTATCTACTTTGTTACAGTGTTCCATGTGTAATACTGAAACTATTATGTCCATTAAGAAATATAATTTAAGAAATTAGGTAATGAAGTGTTTGTATGTAAAAAAATGTAAGAAATAACAGCATGAAAAAAGCCTTTTGTATATCAGACTACACTATTTCTTGCTCATCTAAGTGGAATTAAAAGAAAGTCGTTGGACTTCTAAAAATTCAGTCATCTGTGACCTTTTAAAATCAGTCAGTAATGACAGGGGAACAGTACATTGTAAGCACCTAGTTTTGGGGATAATCGGCTTTTTAGTTGTTCTTTTTATTGTTTGCAAATACTGGTGTCCTTTAATATTGAATTATAAATTCAATGTGAGCAGCAACAACGGCTGCATAAAACCAATCTTTTCCTAAAGTAATTGAAAAGTGCGACTTAATTGCACGCCCTCTTTGGTCTTGGAGGCTTAAGCGAAATGGATAAACACTGCCAGTGATTACATGAACGAAATGGAATTGCGGTATTCCCACGGCGAACGTATATATTTATACTTTTAACTGCAAATAGAAGGCTATTCCGCTAAGCCATTAACACCTAGGGTAAGAAAAGCAAAAGGGGAAGGACGGCGTCGCGTCCCCGGAGGTGAATTAGCAGCATCGCTTATCTTCGGGCCGATGGGGATGCGACCCGCCCGGCGGGGAACTGCCTCCGCGGCTGCCTTCGACACCTCCATCTATCAAACGAGGGGAAGAGCCAGGGTCTGCGGGGATGACAAGCAAAACCAAGGAGGGTACACCCATTCTGCCTGTCGGTGGGGCCCCACACGTCTCGTCGGAAACCTCTCCCCATCTCCTTGGTCTCCATCCTACCTCCCGTGGCATGCTTAACGCATACCTTCCGAAGGCAGGAGTCATCCACTTACTTTTGATAGCAGTGAGGAGCAAGGCTATTAATAGGCTATCTAATTACCCCGATCTGCTAACTCTGAAATCTCTGATTCTGTGATGTGGTTGTTTTGATTTGATTTTCCAATCCAGTAGCGCTTTCATTTATAGAACTGGTCAGACTCGCTCTGGAAGATATTATTTTAACGTTTAGAAATCAACTTTCATTCCAAGCAGGAACAAAGTCCTCAAATTTTGGCATTTCTCACGAAAGCAACAAGTGAAAACATCATTAGTTCGGATGGAGGGACGCGATTTACTTAGCTAAGATTGCGAATGTCGTTGTTGGGAGTTTTATTATTATTATTCTGCAGTTGGTCTCAGACATTTCAGTCAAGCAGATAAATGGTGAGAAAAGCGGTTACAAAAAGGAAGGCGAGAGGCTGCCACGATGCCAAGAGAAACGGAGCGGCCCCGCCAGAGCTCAGCACGGACACGCAGGAAACAGAATTACTCCCGAAAAATGCTTCCAGGAGGACGCATTCATTTTGTCCTGTGGAAAACATTTCACTGGAAGATTTTTGTCTGTTCTGTTTGGTTGTTTTATTTCCTGGGCAGAGAAGTAAGAAGACAACTAAGCCGGGGGGAAGGGGGGGTGGGTATGTATGGCAGGTTTCGATGCATAAAACGATTTCTTTCACGGAGTGCGGCAGGGGTGACAACCGTCCCAGGGAGCAGTTGGTGACGGTGGATTTTGCCTGTGTGGAGTGTGAGGAGTTTTTGGTGTGTAGTTTTTTTCTTTTTTCTTTTCTTTATTTTTTTTTTTAAGTGAGAAAGAATGAAGTCTCTGCAACCTGTGCTGTGGGGATAGGGGTGGAGGTAAGATAGCTAATTGCAGATCGGATTTGGTATTGCCTAACATCCGTGACAGGGAACAGGGGAGGATGAAGAGAAGCCCGGTGCTGAAGCGCTGGGGAGAAGCGCGGCTCTGCCGTGCTCTGCGTCCCTCCCCATCCCTCTCTCCCACGACGACTTCTCGCAGCAAGAAGACCCAGACACTTTCCCCGGGCTTTTCGTGTCAGATCCAGCAGAAGAAAGCCCTGAAACAATTCCCCAGCACCCAGGCAGGAAAAAACAGTGATCCTAAGAGTCCCCATGGCTCCGGCCCGGGGAGGGCGCCGAGCTCCCGCCCCGCGGCCCCAGGAGGCGGGGGCGGTGGCTCTCACTCTCCCGCCGTCCTGTCCCCCTCGGTGAGGCGGCGGGACACGGGGTGGGGACCTCTCCTTCTGGCCTTGTCTCTCGGTGTGCAAGAAGCCGATCCACACACAGAGTCGAGGTACTTGATTTTTCTCTGCAGTTGTGTGCAGAAAGAGGTGGCTACAATTATAGTGTTATATATATATATATAGTATATATATATATATAGATATAGTATTCTTCACCACAAGGCATAAGTGCAACACAGGTCCAACGCTTCGTAGTAAGGGCATTGAGGTGCCCGTTGATAAAAGCGTCAAAATTAGGCCATTTTAGTCACCGACACTTAAAAACCTTTAAAACTGCCGAGAAACAGTACAACTAATCCTTAACTCGCTTTCCAAGTCCCCCTGTATGTGTTTGGAAAGAGACAAAGCACGTATGCGCCCTTAGGACAGAAGCATCTAAGTCATAACTAAATTTTTTTGGATGCTGCGTGGGTCCCGTCTGCCTCCCGTGTGCCACCCCGAGAGCTGTAGGGCATCGCCTTAGTCCTATGCGCCCCACGGGGGCTCAGCGTGCGAGTACCGCGGATCACTGGCTCCGGGAGTCAGGTTACGCAGCAACAGGAGCCTCCTCCGCGCATTTTATTGATTTAAATATCTCTCTCTTTTTTTTTTCTTTTCTTTTTTTTTTTTTTAAAGGTTGAAATCATTAACCAGCCAGACCTCGGATACTGCAGGGTGGGCAAATAAAAAGAAGCTGCAGATCATTATTAAAAAACACACAAAAAACAACAAAACCCCAAAACCACCACCACCAAAAACCTAAAAAAACCCCAACAACAACAACAAAACCACAACAAACCTCCTCCCCCCAAAAAAACCAAAAACCAACAAACAAAACAAATCACCTATTGGACACCTATTGCATAAATGTCCGTGTAGGCTCTCTGCTGCCTGATGCTTATTTGAGCGTCAAGGGTTGAAAGACCGTGGAAATCACCCAAAAGCACGCGTCAGAAGGTCACCAGTGACGGGGAGGCCGCTTACTGCAGTGGGGAATAACCTTCTGCCCCACTCCCCGCCGCCGGGCACGGCTTCAACCCAGGGGAGAGCCGAACCACCGACCAGGAGCGGGGAATGGTCCTCGGAACCTGGTCAGGGCGTCCTGCCCAGGGCCGGGGCAGCCGCCGGGCCCAAAGTCTGCTGTCTGCGGCCAGCAAGACAGGCTGGAGTTCAAGCCCGGCCTCTGAGCACCTGGCAGCCCTTCGCTAGGAGTTTCGGAGAAAGTAAAAAGAATCCCTCCTCACACTTGAGAATTTGTGGGTCCCCCTTCCCCTTTGGACACATCTGATCTACTGCAAAGGGCACGTTCGCCATGCCCGCCCCCTCCCTTTCTGTGGTGTGTACAGGACGCTGCTGCTTTGGGGCTCAGTTTGACTAACCACTACCCTGAGTTCCATGCGTCTGCCCCGCCCGGCCCGAGGTGGAAATGATGGGTGATGTCAAAGGCCCCCGTCCCTCTGGAATGCTCTTTCCCGGTGGATGCGGATTGCCCCGCCGGCTTCGGCCGCGGTGCCTGCGGCGGGGGCGTGAGCTCTGCTCGGAGCCGGCCGGCCGGCAGCTCCCCGCCGGGCTGGGCGAGCCTGAGCGCTGCCGGTGCCCCGATCGATAAGTCCGCTTCAATGTCACAGCCGCTGGGGAATGGAAACCCTCCGTATCGTGGGGTGGCCTTGATAAAAGTATATTTTAAGTAGTGCGGATAAGCGAAGGGGAGAAGAGAGGCGGAGAGGTGCCGGCACGTCGCCCGTAATAACCGCTGTGCTTATCAGCCCGGCCTAAACTCCCCAGCAGTTTCTAAAGTACATTAAGTTACATAAACACGTCTCGGAAAAGAATACACTCCAACCTGCGATAGTCACCGAGGTGACCCCTCGTACCGCCTCACACCCGAACCCGCCGGGCCCCCAGGGCCTCAGGAGCATCGCAGCCTGACACGGCGGGCGATGCCCGCTGCTCCCGGGGTTGCCCTGACCGAGGGGCGACGGGGATGCGGCCGGACCCAGCCTGCCCCTCCTCCCTAATGCATCCCTGCAAAGGGATCACGTTTGCAGAGACCCGGGAGTGGGGGAAGGAGAAACCGCTCTGCACTTGCACATGTCTTTCCCCCAGCCCTTTTTTGGGAGGCTGAAGTGCCCACGAGGGAATTTGCCTTAATTGGATACGAAACTTTCTCTTTTTTTTCTCAATCTGCTTTCTTCCCTCTTTGGCCACAACCATCAGGAGAGATGGTTACCTTGCTGGCACCACCTCCCCAGCGATGTGTTCCCACAACGAGCATCCCCCCGCCCGCAAAAATGCTCCCGCACGTGCACCCCCGGATGCCTAACCCAGGCCCGGGGCAGGAGATACCTGAGAGCCTCCCGGAGCCCCGGGGTGAAAGTTACGTCAGAAGAGTGGGATTCGGGAAAGGAGAGACGCAATGAAGAGTTAGGAACCGGAGACTATATGATTTGAGCGGTTCGAGAACAAACCCAAAACGGAGAGGAAAGGGGTGATTGGAAACTGTTTCCCACGCCGGTCCCAGTTTAAGCAGGGTTTTCTTATCGTGACTATCGGAGGAAATAAAATGAAACTTGTAGCCCGGCTATAACGTAAACAGGCTAATCGGCGGTAAAAAGAAAAAAAAAAGAAAAAAAGAAAAAACGGAGGCGCCTGAAGTGTAAAACACGGGTCAGTTTGGAGACAAGGGAAAGAGGCGCCTGCCAGGCCAGCTCGGCCATTCTTCTTCACAGCCACCCTCAACTTTTGGGCAGGTCCCCACTCCTCACCCTGGGGTTACATGGGCACCGGCATGTTCCGGTCGCTTGAAATAAACTCTCACGGTATTTCACGCAGTATATCCACCCTTACACGTGTTTGAAATACCCTCGGGTTTAAATGGAGAAGAGGTATCCAAATGACTGAAAGGAAATGCAGGGTTTAAAGCCGATAGCTCGGCGTTTTTCAGCACACAAATTTGCAGTGGCAGCACCGAAGCTAGGGAGAAGCGGCGTAAGCATCTATTCCCGCTGTTTCTCCTGCTCTTGTCGCGCATTTGCAGGCAAAAACCATGGGAAAATGTTTTACGTTGCAAGTTGGGATCGGAAAACGAGCCGGACGCTGGGAGACAACAAATCCCTGCCCTCTCTTGCAAAAGCTTGTTTTCTATTTAATATTGAACCCACTAAAACACACCTAAAAGTAAAAAGAGAATAAAATCACTTCAACCTGGCAGGATGACCGATATTATTTAACGATATTATTTAAAGACACCTGACAAGAAAGAAGCATAACCTTTAATCGTACAATTTAATAGAGAAACGGTTTATCGATAAACTGATTATTTTCCGACCAAACCTCTGCCACGCTATACGACAAAAAATAACGCGCACAATAAAACTTCCAAGTCACGATCGGTTCACCCACGCCGGCAGAGTGGATGGCTACAGCCAGAGTTTTACCGTAACCCCAGCACCGCAAATTCTTCACCTCCCGTTCACCTTGCCTGGAAAGACGGAAAGAAAAGCTGTGCCTACCCCAGGAACGACAGCACCGCGCATCAGCAGGTTTGGGCTCGGTTTCTGTCGGGAGGGCTCGTGCCTGCCGGCTGCCGAGAGCCGGGCTCTGCTCTAGTACAGCCTTTTGCCGCCGATGACTCTTTCTGTACAAACTGATGATGACAGATATCCAGCTGATAACCTCTGGTGAACGAAGTTATTTTAATTTCCAGTCACTTTCCTGCTAAGTACCATATCAGTTTGTACACAGCTGAGATAAGAGGGCTGGGGGGGGGATAAGAAAGAAACGGAGGGAAAATGCCTACCGCCAGCTGCTGGGATGGACACATCCCACAGCTTGCTTTGGCTTCACCTGACGATTGGGGTAACTCAAGGAGGAGTCACATTTTTTACCCTCGAATAGCTCTTATTTTAACGAGCAAAAATAGGGAGATTTGGGAGAGGGAGACCTGGTTGCTTGGGGCGAGAGCCTGGCACACATCCTTCCGGGCCGCTACCAGGAGATGCTCGCTGCGATACCGAGAGGCGTGAAGAAAAAAAAAAAAAAAAGTTGAACATTCAGCATAAAGAAGATATTATCCGGGGAGGAGGGAAGACTGTGTATTATTTCTAGGTTAAAAAAAAAAAAAAAAAAAAAAAAAAAAGTAAGATAAAAGACTGTGGCATCTGGGAGGACAATCTTTCTCGCTCCCCGAGGAGGGGTCCGTAGCCCCCTAGCTGCGGGCACCCCATCCCCGGGGCAGGGGGGCAGCGGGCCCGCTGGCCGCCGGGACTGGCACCCCTGCGGAGTCCCGTGTTTGTTTAGGGCTGGCTGAGCCCAATCAGGGCCGGCTGCCTGCAGTTTTCCGGCAGGGCTGCGAGAGGCGCCTCCTCTCTCCTTTTTATACATGAGCCGGCGGCCGCCGCCGCCGGACTCTCCGCCGCCGCTCACCCCCGCCGCACTGGATTTACCGCCCGCCGCGGCCCCGCGCCCCGGCCCCATGCGGGGCATCGGCACCAGGTTTGGCCTCCTTCTCTTTTCTTGCCTCGCCGCGATTTTCCTTGTTCTTCCTCGCTCTTCTGCTCCTGCCTCTCCGCCCTCGACCGCTCTGAGGGGAGCGCGGCGCGGCGGCGGCTGCGCCTGGCTGGGGGAGCCTGAGGGAGACTCCGTGGGCAAACATCCGATGCCGGTGCCTGGAGCCCTTATCTGCCGGAGCCTTATCTCCCAGTTACCTCGCAGGAGGGAGAGACGTATTTGGTGCCTATCTGCGAGGGGGCTCTGTGTGTGTCCTGTATTCTTGTGCCTATGGTTATCTGAAGACCCCCGAGGTGGGCCGAGAGCGGAGAGCCTCGCCGCCCGCTTCTCTTGTTGTCACTTCTCCGCGTCCCCTTTCGCTTTCTGCCCCTTCTCCCTGAGGCTGGGCACCGGACGCTCCGTGTCCGTTTGTCTGTCCGGCCTCTCTCATGCCGGCGGTTCCGAACTGAGACCGGTCGACTCGGAACGGGTGTCAACCCCGAGAGTTATGCTCGGACTTGGGGCAGGCCCTCATCCAGGACTGTCCGCTGGCACCGGCACCCGCGGCAGGCACATCCCACCCGGCCCGGCCCCTGCCTCGGTCCGTGTCCCATGGCGCACACTTCGACGCCTGGCCCGTGCGTATCTCCCGTCTCCCGGGTGCCTTTCCCTCCTCCTTCTCCTCCTTTCTGTGACCTTGGGCTGGAAATAAGCAAACAAGCGAGGCGATGCGCGGAAAAGCTAACATTGCTCTCCGGAGAAGTAACCTTAAAGGGATCGCCTTACTAATTGTTTTCTCGGTGGAACCGAGTCAAATGACTCATTCATTGAAATAATCATAACAACGACAGCAGCCAAGGAAGGGGCTGCGGCACAGACAGGGAAAAATGTCCCTCGCCCCCCTCTCTCCCCACGCCCTCCCGCCCACCTCTCCCCGGCGTGCTTCATGTTCAAATCCGCAGCCCGGGATGCGAAGGGAGAAGGGAGCAGCCCGCCCGCAGCGCGGGAGCGGCGTCGGAGCCGCAACCCTGGCCCTGCGGGACTGGCGACTCCCGGCCCGTGTTGCCCTGGTCTGCCTGATCCCATACTGCCGGGGGGAGGGACAACAGCACCGAGGCGACATGACTGATTAAGCGCTCAGAGGGTCCAGATAAGCCCTGATGAATCTCATTACGGGAGGGAGACGTGCTGTCCTGTTTGCAAACTTTGTTATTATTGTTTCTCTCTCTCTTCCCTTCCCTGCTATTCTGTGTCCTCCTTCCCCGCCCTGCCCTGCGGACCCCCACCTCCACTCCTCCTCCTCCCCTCCTCCCTCTTCCCCATCCACACCCAGCGCCTAGAAGGGGACCTGGATGGCCGTGGCTGAAGTCGGCTGGTGCGCGGTGAAGCGGTGCGCTGCGGACGCCGGTGTTCCCTCCTGCCCCTTCGCCACCAGGGAACCGCACCCGTCTCCTTCGCCCTCCTCCTCCTCGTCCTCCTCCGGCTCCCAGGGTGAACGCGGCTCCTCCAAGACTCCTCGGCCGGAGACCGACGACAGTCACCGGCCGGCCCCTCCGCCGCCCCCCGCCGCCGAGGGCAGGTCTCTGCTCGCCCCCTACGTGCACTTCGGGGCCCCCCACCCCTCCGGCCGGCTCAGCTGGGAGGACATCCTGCTCTTCGCGGACTTAGACCAAACCAACAAGCTGATCTGGTCCAGCCGCGGGCCCAAGCTGAGCGCCCTCGGCGCAGAGCAACCCGAGGAGATGTACCAGACCCTCGCCATCTCGGCCGCCCAGGGCCCCACGCCTTACGACGGATCTCCGGGCGGCTTCATGCACTCCACACCCAGCTCGCCCGTGTACGTGCCCACGACCCGCGTGGGCTCCATGCTGCCCACGCTGCCGTACCTCCAGGGCAGCGGGGCGGCCCAGCCAAGCCACCCGGGCGGCGGCCACGCCGTCTGGTCCCAGCCAGCCGCGGAAAGCCCCTCGTACAGCACCGGCGGCGGCTCCCACCCCTCGGGCCGCTTTCCCTATTCACCCAGCCCGCCGGTGGCCAACGGGGCCTCCCGGGAGCCCGGCACCTACAGCAACAGCCTGGGCGCCAGGGACCAGTACAGCCCCCTGGCCCGGCCGCTCAATGGCTCCTATCCGGGGCCCTACACGTCCTACGTGGGGCCGCAGCTCACCCCCGCGTGGCCCACGGCGCCCTTCGAGAACTCCATGCTGCACTGCCTCCAGGGCCGGGCCGCCCCCATCCCCGTCCGGGCACCCAGCGCAGGTAGGACCCGTGGCGGGGTCGCGGGCAAGGGCGGGGTAGGGTAGGGCAGGAGGGGTCGCCGCATGCCGGGGCTGCCCGCTGGAGGGGCCACGGAGGGGCCGGGGAGCGCGGGGTTCGCGGGCAAGGCGGGACGGCGTGGGGTGGCCCTGGTGGCTGTGACAGGATGGCAGTCCCGAGACCATGGATTTTTGGAGTGAAGGTAAACTCGTGTCGTTTGTGTTGGATTAGGGGGGAACACATCCCCCAAAAGCGGCGTTGTTTGGAGTATGACAATAGGGGCTACAAACCCAGAGATCCCGGTTTAAACCTAGTTTTTAATTTTTCCAGATCCTTACGTTCCTCCTTTTCCTAAATGTGGTCATCTGGCCGAGAAATGGTGTCAAATTCACGGCAAACTGATTTTTTTTGTAGCGTAAACGAAAATTACAGGGGTTCGCTTAACCCATTTGGGATTATTTCGAATACAAAACACTTCACTGCTTCATTAAAAGAGAAAAGCAGCAAAGCAAAACCTCGGATATGAACTAGGAAATCTCGTTTATAAACTGCTGTTAAAATGCAGCACCTCCTGATGGAGTTTTGCTTTCGCTTCCGAGGTGTCCCGTCCTTATTTTTTATTTTAGTCTGGGAAGTTCTTGGGGTCATTAAATTAATTGGTGAAGTGGAGGCTGAGCTGCGATAATTTATTTAAGAGTTATAAAGATTAACGATTATTGCAGTTTCTTCAGCCTTAGAATATATGTATGTATATATAAATAAAGGTGCACAGAGAGGTGTGTGTATGTATACATATTTTATATATTATGCATAAATATTGTGTATATATATTTATGTATATGTGCATATACATCCACACGCGCATACACAGATTTGATCAGCACTCACTTTAATCGTAAACTACCCACCAGGTTGGGAATATTTTATAGACACCGTGATTTTCTTTCAGTGCAGTGTTGCGTATAATTACCCCATGGCTTTTTACCCTTTTGTAGGGTTTTACCTGATGCTCCTCCCTTCTCTCGATGATACCCGGTAGATTTAAGTATTTTAAGCCTCCCACTTGGTGTTTAATAACATAACAGAGAGAAGTAGTGGTGCTAGGAGAAGCCGCGTCTCAGGCCGACACGGAAGTTGAGTTTTCCAACTCAATTTCCAAAAGTTAAAGTGTATAAATAGGTGACGGAGGAAAAAAGAAATCTGTTGGGGTTTTCTTTGTTGTTGGGTTTTTTGTTGTTGAGGTTTTTTTTTTTCCGGGAGAGACGTGGGATTAGAGAATCTCACGAAAGGGAGAGAAGGATGAATAAGAAGGGGAAGAGAAGGTAAGGAGCCCGGCGCTTGAGGAGGTTGGGGCACGAGTGCCAAGCCAGCCGAGGAGGAGCACGCCAGCTTCCCCTGCTCCCGGGGGTCTCTCTCCCGCTCTTGTGCCTCCGTTCTCCGGTGCTGGGAGCCGGTGGGACGCGGGCTGGCCAACCTTTCGATGAGGGAAAGGGTGTCAGTGGAGCCGCATCGCGGTGTAACGTGGGGCGAAGCAGTCCGCGGCTCCTGGGCCACGCGAGTTTTCTGATCCTGCAGTGCAAAACGCGCCAGCGAAGCCGAAGCCACGTGTGCTCCCTTTTTAAAATTGTAGGAAAATTGTCAGGAAAATTGTAGACGAAATATATTTCTTACGGCTAACTATTAGACAGTTTGACAAAGCTTTTTTAATGTTACTCATAGACATTAAAACAGTATCTAAAATGAAAACTATTTTGTTTTCATTGAAGAGAAATGTATTACACTGTAAGAGAAAAAAAAATTTAAATGCCCGAGAAATATTGTCATGGCAGAATTTCTTTCTGGAGGTACGAAGGCAATGTTATAAAGCAAATAGCTGAGACAAATAACTGTTTAACTTCCAACGTCCTTGAAACCTTAAGCATTTTCCTGATTACAGTCTTCTATGGCGCTTTTAGTGCAAAGATTTATTAATCTTAGCGATGTGCTAAGAGCTACAAGCTGACAAT